TAAGGCAAAACCTTCCCTTTTTCAGCGAGCCGGCGGGAGAAGAATTTGGCCCGCACATCGAGTTTGGCCCACTTTATCTTCAATTTGTATTAAGTGACCCCGAAGTTTCGTCGTTCTCGCCAATTCGAAGAAGTCGTCAAACTGAAGAGCACAGTCTAGCCCTCGGACGATTTTAAAGAACATGATAATATCCCCTCTGTATTGTCTATAAGAGAGAGGAAATAACTTTAACTATTCCAGGAGTCTCTCATAAGGAAATCAAATTAATCTGCCGTTCAGCTTGGTTGTTCTTTTTCGTACGTTCTCCAACAGGGTGCAGTCATTTTTCGTACAGCCACTCCATGCCTGAACGCAATATTCCAACATTGGCCGAAAAAATAATCCAAATACTCAGTCTAAAAGTTCTTCGTCAAAATTGAGGAAAGATTTTCTAATTAAGCCTAAGTTGCCCATAGCCTTCTTTGATACCTTGGCGCAGAGAGACGATGATTTGCTAGTCGACTTCAACCACACACCGAATTCTCTTAACTCGTTAACTTATTCGACTTGGTGATCTCGTACGAAGTAGTGAAATTCAACTATCAACGGCCTCCTGTTGTTAGATCGCAGTCGGATATGTTGGCATTTGTTAAGGTTGAGGTTTAATCATCACCCATCACGCCGTCGTTGCTGGCGATTCAGATTTTTCTGTAACAGCACAGAGTCTTCCGGCTTCTCTATTGATTTCCACAATTTGTGATCATCGGCAAACATTACGCGTTCGAAGTTAAGACAGTTCGGGCAGTCCTACACATATACTAAGAAGAGAATTAGACCCAGGACGCTCCCCTGCGGAAAGACACTGTAAACGGATGGCCATTCCGATTTAGCGTTACCGATAAACACACGCTGAAATCTGCCCGTAAGAAAATCGGCTAACCATTTCAGCAGATATATATTCAAGCCCATTTGCTGTAGTTTAAATATAAGTAGACTGTGTGAAACACCATCAAAAGCCTTGCTGATGTCAATGCACACGGTGTCGACTGATAAATTTATTCCGATCTTCACAGACATAAAAGTCAAGCTTAAAATAATGGTGCTCAACAGAAGTCTAGGATGTAAACGCTAGAGGACTCGTACGGACGGAGAATTCACACTAGCTAGATAAGCGTGGTACTAGAGTTCGCACGTTGACTACAGGGGAACCCAGATGTACCATTTAGAGATAATAAACAGTTGGGAATATGATCACAACAGCTTCCGAGCAGACGTAGATTCGACAGAACAAGCCACTCCTGCCTCTAAAAATATGGCATCGTGACTTACGTATACCAGAAAACGTTTACGGATAGACTAGAGTACGGACCCCGTTCAGTGTTCGAGATATCGTATGAATGCGTAACACAAACGCTGGGGCGATACTCGCCGAAATTCAGTCTAGATTAGCTTGACCTGTATGTCATTAACGAAGCTATTTCGAAAACGACTTGCCTCATTTGATGCCTGAATAGGCTATGCATGTATAAGTTCACAGTTCACTTAAGTCGCCCGAAGCCTGGACACACGGGAGATGAGGCTATATGCCGTTCAGAACTACGAGCGGGTTTATTGTCGAAATAACAAACAACTGATCACACAATGCGCGAATAGTCCTTCGAAAGGCGGTTACGCTGCCATAAGGGAGACGGTGATGTATATGTTGAGAGCGTCGTGGGTGTACCCCTTTTAGCGAAGACCGACCATGGAGATAGTAGACCCCGTTAAAAAAAGTAGATTTTGTCGCGAAGAATGAAATGAGGAGAAACGTAACCATCAAGCTCTTTGCCCGCTAACAGACGTGCATGCGTTTCTGTCAA